TACTTTATATGGTTAGTATATTACAGTATTGCTGCCAAATTAAAATTATTGCATTCATCTGTGGTAACATGCAGGCTTTAATGTTAAAGATGCATCACTTTTGTCTGGGTAGTATTATATATTCATTGAAAAAAGTCCAAACTGTAAATTGTAAGGTAGTTTATAATGATGGCTTAGTATAACAAGGTCAGATGATGAAATTGTGTACACTATTATATTTTAGTCTGGAAAGTCCGAGGAAGTTGTCCAGATGTTGTACACTTCTCATAGAGTGCTGCCTGAATTGTAGTGCATGGTGTGTTGCTTTCCTTATATCCCACAAGCACTTGGTGCACATAATTAACTGTGTGCAGTTATCTGGTACCTACTTGTGATCACTAACAGTCGCTCGGTGCACTCTACTTGCTATGTTCATTCACTAATGCACACAAGTATTTTGATTATACTGTCAGGTTTGTTAGATGCACTAGTTGGTCTATGGGCTCAAATTCACTCCCTCAAGGCTGTTCAAGTCAATTTCAGAAGCAATTACTGCAGAATGAAGTTGCACATGATTTATCAGGAGGCTCTTACTTAAGGTTTCCTTATGAGTGACTTGAGACCCATGCTAATTTTGATTGGCTTTTGGCCAGTTTTTTGGGGAGTTATACAGAAAGTATGCTTGGATAAATCAAAGTGGCTGCTCCAAAGTTAAAACTTTATATAAATTTTTACCAAACTCATGTTGTTGATGGCTGTATGGTATGAGGAGTCATCAAACAACTGTGAATGATAATCAGCAAACAGAGTTGAGTCTCTCCGCGTTGTTCACTCTCGGCTTGCTGAGCTAGCAAGAATTTCTTATCTTGTATATTATCAGGGCTTCATATCAGGATTTAAAACTATCATATTACTGTTGCACTTCATTTAAAACTTAATAGAATAATAATTAAATTTGAATTATGATATTATGATGACAAAACAAAATTTGTGTGTATTATTTATGAGCTTAAATGATTAGTAGCACACTAATGAGGTATAACAGTATATTGATCCTTTGACCAATGGGCAGCCCATTGTACAGTATGTGGAAATGCTTATGCAGACAAGTATACACAGTATAGATAGTTTCACATAACACAGTTTTATTGACATGAAAGTAAAGTATCTGAAATTCCTCTGAGGCCTCTGTTTTGATGTAGTTATCTTGGAATCCATTAATTGTAACAAGTTTTAAAGTCACCAATATTCATTTTTCTTCAGTTTCATTTTTGCATGTTGCATTAATATACTATTTTTTATAATTTTATATATACAGTGTGTGTGTGTGTGTGTGTGTGTGTGTATATATATATATATATATATATATATATATATATATATATATGTATATATATATATGTATATATATATATATATATATATATATATATATATATATATATATATATATATATATATATATATATATATATATATATATATATATATATATATATATATATATATATATATATATATATATATATATATATATATATATATATATATATATATATATATATATATATATATATATATATATATATATATATATATATATACCTGTATATATGTTGTTCCTAATAGCCAGAATGCACTACTTGACCTGCTACACAAGGCCCAATTTTGCCTAATAAGCCGAGTTTTCCTGAAGTTATATATTTTTCTAAATGTTTTTCTTATGAAATGATAAAGCTTTCCATTACATTATATGTGATTTTATTTTTTATAATTTGCATTCAAACTAATGCAGAAATATGACCAAACCTAACCTATCCTAATCTAACCTCAACTAACATAACTAAGTCAATAATTCATGTTCTTAATATAATATAATATTATTTCAAATGAATCAATTGGAAGCTGTTTTTTTTAAATAGCAAAAATCACTCTTGTCTAGTAGGCAAATGGGGCTTTCATAATAGGCCGAGTAGTGTATTCTGGCTACTAGGTGCGACTATATATATATGTGTGTATATATATATATATATATATATATATATATATATATATATATATATATATATATATATATATATATATATATATATATATATATATGTATATATGGATGTATGTATGTATATTTGTATGTGTGTTTGTGTATGGATGTATATTATGTATATATTACTCCTATTACTTCAGAGGATGTTTAGCCATCTCTTGGTAGGAGACATTGAAAGATTTTTTGGGCAGCTGCTTTGGTTGAAATACAGTACTATTTTGTGACTTGAAAATGTAAACTCACTGAAGTCATATTAAGATTTTACGATTCTAAGCTTTCACCATTAAAATAATAGTAAACAAATTATTACTGATAGCTGGCAAAATATCCACTCGATTGTATAAAGGGATATTATTATTATTATTATTATTATTATTATTATTATTATTATTATTATTATTATTGCTTTTATTATTATTATTATTATTATTATTATTATTATTATTCCTAGTATTAATTTATTATTAATTATTATTTAATACTAATAATTATGAATAAATACTAATGATAATAATATAAATATCATTATTATTACAATATTATTTTTTTATGTTCTTTACCACAAAATACCCAAAATTAAGGAATGCATTTTGGCAAGAGAATGGTGACCAAAACATACTGACAACTCAACAGCTCAATAATCTTGTGACTGGAATGGCTAAAGCCAAAATAATTTTTAATAAAATTATAGAATCCCTGCACTGCTATAGATAACTGCACAGAAAATGTGCAATTCTAGCTTGCAAACTCCAAAGTAAACTCCAATTTCTGTAGTAAAACAAGAAAACAATTATTATTATTATTGTTTATTATTATTAGTTTCCTTATGGTGTACTTTTGTGTGACTTAAAGATTTCTGCAGGAGAAACAGAGGCCTGCTGTTCCTCCCTCTACTGTACCTGTTACTTTGTCATTAACTCTGCATGTCACAAGTTTACATTGCCACTCATCTACTCTAATGGAATAACAATGATTAAGATTTAATCATCACCTAGAGTTGTGATTTGACTCACTTTAATGTCAATCATGGATTCAGAGAAGCAAAACTTCTGATGCTTCTCATTCTGGCTGTCTGTTGATTATTTTGATCACTTATACCACCCTTATTATAAAGAGTGCATACACTGTGTGCATGTCTTCCTATAGTATCCTCATTACTTTGGTTAGTAAGTTAGTCCACTTCAAACTGATGACCTGCTTCTTGGGCTATAAACTATATTGTAATTCTTACTTCTTGAGTAGGTCTGAAGCAAAAAACATTAATACCTATCTGGCATTCTACTCTGAAATTAATTATATGCACAGTTAATGAATGCATAAGACATATTTGTAGTTAGGCTTTTTTGTTTTTTTTGGACATAAATCATGTCATATTTCAAACCATGCAGTACACAGTGGATAAAATATTTGCCTATTATATTGCATTTAGGTCAAACCTTCATTGCTGACAAAACTATGAAGATATGGGCAAACATTAATGTAGTTAGTTAATTGACAGTCAATATTTGTGACATGTTAGACATTTTCTGAAATGTATTTTTGTTATTTCTGTGAAAGTTTAAATTTGTCTAGTGGAATACAGTATATATTTCCTAATTGCAATTGATGCCTTACAGAACCATCACTCAGAAACTCATAGGAATAGTGGTAGGAAATTTTAATAATATTTATGCCAGCCAGCGAATTTGTAAACAAATTAATTATCATAGTTTTGTCGAACAAGTTGGTTGTATTTTACTTCTTTGGCTCATGGGAAAGGGAGGCAATGTGGCTTTTATAATTTTTCATCTAGTATTGCATGTTCTTTAAATAATTTATAATTTACATCAAATACATGCACTATGTATTGCAGACATAATAGTTAAGAACTACTATTAAAGTTTTCTCCAAGTTGATATAGTATTTATAATTCATTCAATAAAGAATACAGTATTGTGAGTATTTTCTCGTGGTTATTTTGTACCGTTGATACACGTAATAGATATGCCTTTATAGTGTTATTAGTTTTTTTTGAGACTTAAATATGTAAACCTTGGTATTGATACCAACAAAAAGGATTAAAAGTCATATTCTGTACTATTTGTAACAAAGGAAGCAATATTCCTCCCTTATTCCAAGTATTCCATTTTCAGTTTTTATATTTTTATACTCTTAAAGTGTCTTGTATCTCTTGTTATGTATACCGAGCTCAGCACCATATTTTCAAGATGCACACAAGTCAATTGATAAAGAACATGTACTATCACTCAGTTTACTGCAAGCTCTTCTCATATCACTGTATTGCTTCACTTTCTATACCTGATACATGGATACTTTTTGTACATTCTAAAAGTTTATCCACTTAAAAAAATATTGCAGCACAAAAGTGATCAAAGAACTTTTTTGTGAGTATAATGGATGGTAGTATTTCTCCAGGGATGACCAGTTGACTTAGTGGTAATCTTGAATAATGAACTTCATCTTGTCTCTCTTTCTGTAAGAATGACTAACCTAGATGGCATGTCTTTCCCACATCCACATATAATTCATGTTAGTGCAATGCTTGTTAAATTATTTTATTTGTAGAAATTAATCATTTAATTTTTTCCCCTAGCTGCTTTCCATCTTTTAAAAATGATAGTGATTAATGGTGGTAATTTTATAATATTGATAGAACACATTATGTGATTCTATTTTAAAATTGATTAGATATATTTTTACTAGAAGTCAGTAAAAAGCCAAGGATGCTCATGTGTTTTGAATTATAATATATTTTTTATGCAATAGACTTATGATTTTAAAATTAAATTGTTATGCTTTGATTTTTTTTTTAAGAAAACATAATCTAGTAGAAAATACAGAGCATTTTAAAAGGCTTTTGCAATATACAGCTAAATGAAGTACCTAGATATGACCATTTTTCTCATAAAAACTTTAAAAGCTCAAAAAAAAAAAAAAAAAAAAGTTCGCAGTTACCAACTCCCAATTTTTCCAG